TGCCTTTTTAAATTATTTTCCACATCTAAAAGTTGAAAATGTATGTGCAGTTAGGTTGCATGTCATATTTCTCCCATTTGCTTACATACTTTCTCATGCATAGAAAAGATTAAAGTTTACCTAAATTATTCTTCCCTGAAAACAATTTACATCTAATTCTTTAATGATTTTATTTTCTCTCTTGTCCACCCAACACTGTTTTGGCATATGATGTGAGATAAGAGTTAAATTGATTTCCCTCCTAAAAATGTTAAGCATTTTCCAGCAGCAGTTTTTGAATAATCCATTCAATTTCCACTTATTTGTGATTCTATCACATCATTGAATATATTATCTTATTTTAGAGGTAAACACTTTCTCTTTCCCTGTCTTCCTCCCTCCCATAGGGTGGGTTTCTGGCTCTGGTCCACTTATTTCATTCTAGTGTTCTGTCAGTTCTTTTTATTAATATCACACAGGTTTAAATATTATTTGCTTAATATCTGGTGGGACCCATAGCTCCTTCTTGTTGATTTTCTTTGTGTTTATGTGTAGCTTTTAAGACATTCTCATTGATATTTCTTCCAGACTCATTTTAGAATAATTTGGTAAAACTACCCCCAAAATGTTTTGTACTTTAATTGAAATTTCATTGAGTGTACAAATTGAATTGTGGAGAATTGGCAGCTTTACAAGATTTAGTCTCATTATCAAGGAGCCTGGTGTGTCTCTCAGTAAATTTTTGATTTAGGGGATTTTTCATGCTATTCATAAGAGCCTATGTTAGACATTGATCATAATTGTCTAAATATTTTCCTTTTTTATGATTCACTCTTCAAACCGACCAAGGACACATTAGCTTTGCTCATTTGTAGTCACATGTTTGGCCTAACAGCATCTCATTGTCCAGGAAAGGGAGGGGCACATGATGCTCAAAGGCTTCTCTTTCCCTTTATTGGGCTACAGTCTTTCTCTAAATATATATTTTAAAATATTTTTCTTAAATTAGTTTAAGAAGATATAATATGTATAATAGTTCAATTTCTTCAGTAGTTCACTAATGAGATGTCATAAAATTATCCAAAAATATGTGTTACTTTGTATATCAACAAAATACAGTGCAGCAAACAGCTGTTTGATATTTGATTTTCAGTTGTCAAACCTGATGACATTACCTGTGAGATCATCAATTTTAGCCCATTACAATGGAGTGGCAGGTTTGGGTGACTAGCCTGAAGCTATAGCTTACTTATTTGGGTCTATACTCTGGTTATGGAGATTTTAAAAATGAAAATCAAGAAATATTTTCATACACGTAATTTGTTTATGTCTTTCTTAAATGCTACACAATGATATACCCTGCTCTCTTCTGTTGACCCTGGTACATAAGACAGTTTGCTTATTGGAGTCACACAGAAGAGAAAGCTTTGCTTTTATTAACAGGAGTCCCACAGGTTTTCTTGAAGCTGAGACTTGCTTATTTCAGGCTAATGGCCCTGGCAGTGCTGTCTCAGGAAGCTGCAAATAGACAAGTAGAAGTATTGTGTGGGGGCTCTTCAGGCCTACTCATCTATGCCTCCAATTCCAGTTACGTTATTTTCAAGGGTAGTTCTTTTGCGTAGTACATGTAAGTTTTATATGAGTTACAAGCATTGGAGTGGTAAGAACCATGTTCATCTTGGTCTAAAACAGAAAGAGCTTCCCTGTGGATAAATCAAGTGTCAGATTCTACTAACCTCCACTTTGCATTTCATAGGTTAGATAATTGAGCTCAACCACACATGAAAACAAGTGAAAAGCTTAGAATTTGCTTCTGTTAAGATTTTCTAATTTTTATGCTTAGGCTTAAATATTTCTTTTTAGTTGAATGCTTGAAGCAACAATGCATTAGCAGTGATGAAAATTCTCTCAAAGCCTCAAGAGAATTTTTCTTCCACTTGTTTAAATTTCCCTCTCAAAATCTCTTGGCGATATGATGCTGAGAAAGTGTGTGACAGAGAAAAAGAGAGACCAGTGTAGACAGTGTACAGTAAGGAAATTGCAATGGAATTCTAAATCACACAGCATTTAACTTGGGATTCTAACTCATGCAGACTTATATCGCTATGCTGTTTTCTGATTCTAGCACATAAACATTAATTATATAAAAAAATAAAAATCTTATTAAAAAACACAGTGTTAGTTCTAGAAGTCACCTTCAAAGAGCTTTACTTTAACTATTTTCATGCTCCATTTTAGGATGACCAACATCTGGGTTTGCTCAGGACTGAGGAGTTTCAGTGCTAAAACCAGGAGAAACTTGGGCAAATGAGATGGTTAGTCACCTTATCTCCAAAAACAGGTTTGGAAAGTATAGGGAGAGTGGTAGGTAAAAGTTTTCAAATAACCTATTTATTTATTCATAATTTATTCCCTGCCTACTTCTAAAAGTGATTTAAGATGGCTTATAGTAAGACCACATATAAAGGTGTTGAGTCTTTATAGCAGTTTAATAATAATGTAAAAGATATATTCAGGAGCTTGACTTGAAGTAATCTATTTTTATTTCCTCCACCAACGGCCCAAGTGCCCATCAGTAGATGAGTGGATAAAAAAGCTGTGGGACATTTATACCATGGAATACTACACAGCTGTAAAGAGGAAGGATCTCGTACCATTTGGGACAGTATGGAGGGACCTGGAGAATATTATGCTAAGTGAAATAAGCCAGGCAGAGAATGACAAACATCACATAATCTCACTTATATGTGGAATTTAAAGAACTTAATAAATGGATGAACAGAATAGATTCAGTGACATGGAGGCATGGATCAGACTGACAGTCTCAGAGGGAAGGAGGGGGGTGGGTGGATGGGGGGGAGAGATTATCTTAAGAATTTATATGCATATATGCACAACCCAAGGACACAGACAATGGTGTGGTGAGGGACTGAGGAGGGGAGTCAGGCTGGGTGGAAAGGGTCAATGGGGAGAAAAAGGGAAATCTGTAATATTTTGAACAATAAAAAATAAAATAAAATAAAATGCAAAAAAAAAGTAGTATGTCTTAAAAGTTAAATTTGATAATATGAATACTACCCAGTGCAAGATCTGAGGTGCTCTAGGTAGAAAAATATATTGGGACATTTATAATTACTACCCATTTCCCATGATCTTGGATAAAAATGTAGCTGTTCCTTGAGCAATTATTTGATGTTACAGGGTTCCCACTGGACATCCTGGTTGAGCTATTGAGGTTGGGACCAATATAGAAGCGCTCTGGGCCCATCCAGACAGGGATGGCAGCTTTCTTTCACATGCTTGCTTTTGATTCTGGGTTCACACAATCTAGCAGGAGACACAATTGTGTTGCATTCAAAAGACTGTTGCATTTATTTTTTAAAAACTTGGTATAAGCCTTTGTTTTTCCAAGTCTAGACTATTGTGATTTGGGGAATGTCATTATAATCTACCTGAGTCTGTTTTCTCATCTATTAAGTGGAGATAATAAGTACCTGATAGATTTATAGTGAGAATGAAGTGAGATTGTGCATAGAAATGACTTATAAAACTATACTATAACAGTAGAGTGTTAAAAATATTGACAACCACTAATACAATTACTATTCTGTTTCATCCTGTATTCAGAATGCTCATTTAGGACTCATTTACAGTTTTGAATATAACCAAGAAAACTATAAAATTCATCTTAGATGGGGGTGGGTGACCAAATATGTTTAATAGAGAGATATACTTATTTAAGTTTGTTATAATTTTGAATTACAAATGCAATCAGTTCACTCTCCAGATATCAAAAATGAAATTGCTACATTTTTTATAGCACTCACCTAGAGTTTCTAGAATAGATGCCAAAAACATAAGCATGTTTTAAAAATTGAATTTAAATGGCCTTAGAGCAGGAAAACACAATAAAAAATACTGCGTTTACCTGTCCTTAGACAATGTCTATTGAGAAGGTGACAGTCTCTGCTCCTCCTACATGACCTGCTTCACTTGCCCGGGCTTGTGGGCATTTGAGCTTTTATTTCCTAAACTAGAAAAACTAAGTGGATTACATATTTTTCAAACTATCCTTTATGTATATTATTACATAAAACCAGGCTCCAGTAGAAGATGAGTGACATATGCTTCCATGTTATGTTTTGTGGCGGTTTTTGTTTGAATATACTCTATGGCTTCTTATGGTCTAAAGCTAGAGTAAAACAGAATGATAGACTGACACTCTTGTGAAATTTAAGAACCTCACACAGATTCTCATCCAAATATATAGTTATTTTCCTATTGCCAAATGGAGGAGGGCCAAGGGGTTATCTGTGGGTAAAGCCAAGGAATGGTAAGTCCACTCTGATGAATTTTAGGCCCGTCTCCTTATCTGTAACCTGGTTCATTACACCCACCTTGCAAAGATGTTCTGAGGATTAAATATAGTAAGAGATGTAAAGCACACGGTGCCAGGCCATAGTTAGTCTTCAATGAATAGTAAGTCTTCGAGCTATTTTATTACTATGATTAATACTTTTTATTATTACGTGAGTGAATGAGGAATTGAGATATTAGTTATCAGACTAAACTTTAGTATCTTCTAAGCTTTTCACAGTAGAAGTTTAAATGAAACTGCATTTTATAAAGTACATGTAAAAATAATATTTTATGGGTATAGATGCATTTTGTAAGTTCACATTTAAAACATATACTCATTGATAAGGTCAGTCAATGAAAACAAGAAGGTTCGTTTGCTGAACACAAATATACGTGGGGCAAGAGTAGGTTTATAGTCGAGAGTACACAAAACAGTTTATTCTTGTAGTATTACTTATTCGTTATTGTATTATTGTTTCCATATGAACAACTGTAAACCTACTTTTTCCCTACCCTGTATGTACCGTCTGGGCTTATAGCTAATAGTTGGACAATTATATCAGCTCCATCATACAATTTATTTTTTATTTGTTTTATTTCATTTCTTAATTTTGTCATTTGGTGTCTTTGTTTGATATTGGTTTAATTGGTATATTTATTTTGTGTCTTTATTTGGTTTCTGTGATTTTCTCTCTTAGATTGCACATTTCTCAAGGATGGGGATCATCTTCAATTTATCTTTTGGACCCAATGCCCCATAGAATGCATGGAACATGGTAGGCCTGAAAAATGTTTTCCTATTTTACCTGAGAAAAATCACTATGTTTTTTAAGGTCAATTGATATGTACAGGAGTTAGAGCTTGAAAAGGACAGAAAATGATATAATAAAATAACTGATCTAAAATGGTGCTTTCTTGATGAAGGTCTAGAGAAGTTTAATCTGTTAAATTCTTGGTAAACCAGGGGAGAACCTGGTCTTGGAAAGGGCGTGTGTGTGTGTGTGTGTGTGTGTGTGTGTGTGCAGTGCACGCCTATGCCTGCTCCTTCGTGCATGCAGGTTTGTGAGGGTTGCTGAGGGACAGGGTGAGGAAATGGGGAGGGAGGGAGCACTTGCTGAGCACATTGCCTTGAACGTTCACCCTTTGCTGCATCAGAGACTGTTGAGAAACGCGCACTGACATGTTTATCACACTTTGGCAGGTGGACTATGGAAAACAATTACAAACTATCTGTAGAACTGTGGGGTCAACTTCTATCTTCTTAAGGCTGAGTGCTTTGCAGAGTTCTTTATCTCCCCTGTCTTATCCATGAAAACCAGCAATAAAAGGAAAATGGGGGAAAAGTGTATCCTCATGGGAACTCACCTGATCTATTCTGATAAAAATAACAATAGCTAGCCTTTACTGAACACTATGATTGCTTCACCCATATTAACTCTTTACTCCCCACAGTTGTATGAGGTAGGTACTGATGTTACTCCACTTTACAGGTGAGGGAATTGAGGCACAGAGAGGAAGTGTAAGATGCTCTAGTTCCATATTTAAGAAGCGGTAGATCTAGGATTCTGAGCAAATTCCTTCAGCACCCACCCCTCAGGATGCTACTCTTGCAATCGGACTCATTGAATATCAGCAGCAGAAGTAAGCGGAAGCCTGATATTCTTGCCAGTCCCATGCTGGGGGATCTTCACTAGAGCTTCAATTGATGGGGAAGGAAAATGACTGCTTCCTTGTGGGTGGCTTGCAGCCATGGTACCAGGGATAGCCTGTGCTCTCCCTGTTGTACCGGTGAAGGGTGAAGGTGATTGTTTCAATCCAGGAGGAAGCCTGGCTAACAACAATGCAGGTAACTGTAGGAAGGATCCTTCCCTTGCATTTGTTTCTATTTTAAGTTGGGAAAAATGGTTATTTAGCTCTGGTTGGATCAATCTGTTGAAAAAAACATATATATTCTGAAAAAAAATTATATATATGTATAAAATATCTGGATACCCTATGATGATTATGAGCATAAAATTGCTGAGCAATTGGAAACCTTTAATTATGCACTTTGAACATTGTAGCCAATTGTGTGTGTGTTTTTTTTTTTGTGGCCTAAAAAAACATCATAAGTGGAAGGAAACATCTGCTGCATTTTTCATGAGAGCTGTGGAATCCAATATGATTTATTTACACGGTTATTGTACATGCATTGGGCACACTTACAAATTTTACCTTTCACTAAATTTTCTACTTAGAACGTTCCACATAAGCAGAAATAAATGTTCACCTCTGTAAAATCCATGGGTTAAAGCCATCTATAGAAGTTGGAAGCTAAATGTAGAAAAACCATTGTAAAGGCTCGATTGTTTTTCCTCCTGCTGTCTTAGAAGATAAATCTTGAGCACAAAATATATTTTGTTTTTAGGAAAGATTTGTTTATACTGTATGGTGCCAGTGATGCTCAAGTTTATTTGTGCCACGGCTACAGATACCGTGGGACTTTACCCACACTGTTAAGAACAATATATTTGAAGAAAATGAGCACATCTTGGGTGACAACTCTTCATTAAGATAAGCATGCATTAAATCTCAGTCTTTGAAGAATCCTTTCTCCTAATGGAAGACAGTGTTGCGAGCTAGCACTGCGTGACCATTGCAGATTTGTTTACTGGTCTCCATGGGGAGGTTCATTTGCAGATCCCCCAGTGTAAGGCTTAATCTTAGAAAGAGGAAAAAATGCTGTTTTTGAAAAACACTAGAGGGATTGGTGTTTTTAGCCTGATCATAATTCATTGAAAGCACGAGGGGATCTGTATGAACCATGTTCTATAAATTAATGGATAGTGAGAAGTCTTCCTTCACCCTTGTGAATTCTTGTAGAAGACATTTGCCGAGAAATTACTGGAGCTGCTCCCCCATGGGGAGATTAATGCTTTAATATGCAAAAGCAGACAACTCACAATTCCTTTGCTCGGTGGCACTCTGAACTGCACAGTCTTACTGCTTTATTTTCCCCTTAGAGTTTGTCTTCCCAAAAACTTTTGTGGAATCAGAAAGAGCCACTAATACAAAGCCATATCCTTGGTCTACACTTGAGAACTCTACTGCACATCACCAACCAAGCAATTTGTGACCAACATCTGGCCGAATAAATGTCTTTGTGAAAGTATTGAGATTTTCCAGCTCATCCATTTGAATTTACTACTTTCTATACCAGCATCAAAATTAGGCACTGGTAAATGGTCTTAGGCAAGGGTGTATCCTTAGGCCTTCTTATCTCTTACTTTCCTGTAAAAGTAGAAGCCAACAAAAGCATTACCTTTAACAACCCACCACCAGTCTACTACACTCATGCATCCTGTTCCCAACCTACCTTCCTTCCTGTGTGGCCTCCTGAAATCTCGGGGGGTCATCATTCCTTATTTCCTGTGTCTCCTACTTCTCTATCTCCTTCCAATGAGCAGTTAACATGCTCAAGATTTTCACATGTTAAAAGGAAGAAAACACCCTCTCTCCTGCATATTCCACTCCAGCTACTTTCATTTCACTTCTATGGGAGAGCCAAGCACCTTGGAAGAGATGTTCATTTCCTATACTTTCCATTTCATCACTGTCTAGACTGTACCCCACAGTTTCAATGAAACTGCCTTCATTCACCAAGGCCACTAAGATCCTTTGTGGTACCTTGCACAGGTGGCTCTCCATCTTTTTCTTACTTGACCACTTGGCAATATCAGCTCAAGTTAACTGTTCCGTTAAAAAATTCCTTTTTTTTCTTGATACTGAATTCTCCTTTTCTTAAACTTAATTTTTGAATATAAACTATCTTAGATAAATGTGTGTGTGTGTGTGTGTATATATATATATACACACACATATAGTCTCTATATTATAAAATCATGGAACATGCTTGTGCCCCTGTCTCCCTACTCTATCATTCTCTTTGATTGAAATTGCACTAAATCCTTAGATCAATTTGGGTAGATTTGACCTCTTAAAATGTTGATTATAATCTTTTTATCCATGAACAACGTATCTCTCTCTTATTTAGTATCTTTCAATACAGTTTAAACATTTGCTCTATAAACATTCTCTACATCCTGTGTTAATTTTATTTGGCACCTCAATTTTACTGTAGTTATTTAAAATGGTATCTCTTTTAACAATACATTTTCTTACTATTTGTTAATGGTGTATAGAAATATTGATTTTAGTGTATTAATCTTATAATCAGCCACTTTTGTATACTCTCTTATTCTAATATTTTTTTCTATAGCTTTGCTGTTTTGTAAGAACATTTATTATAACTGAGAGTTTATTGCTAGTAAATGCTCTTGGTTTCTGCTTATTTCAAGCTGCTTTTGTTTTGGACTTGTTATGCAATTCCAAGTTGACAGTTTTTCGCTCAGCCCTTTGAAGATACTGTTGCACGGTTTCTGGCTTCCTCTGTTACTATTGAGAATTTTGCTGTCAGTTTAATAGCCATTTCTTTGCAGCGATCTGTCTTTTTGTTCCTGTTAGGTCGGATAAAGGGAAAGCACAGGAAAACGACAAAAGCTCAGGAATAACAGCAACAGAGCTGTCAGGGAGGAACAGGTTACTGGAAACTGGAGGATGGGAGGGTTGCGTAGAGCAGTGACCTTCTGTGACCTGACAAGAGATGTCACTTTAGAGGAGCAGCCAAGGTTATAACAGCTAGACTGACTTCCCCTCCTCTCTCTTATCCTGCCTGTGCCATCCCATCAGAAGCCAGGGGTCATAATATGACTGATTTGATGATAAATGCAGGTCAGATAAAAGTAAGGGGTGGAGAACGTAGTGGAGAAGGGCAGAAAGACTGGATCTGGAGGGGTCAACATGAGATATTTAGCCCATTCTATTTCGTTTTCTTTTCTCTTCAACTTTGTTTTGGTCGTTTTGAATCATTCTTGGTCTTTTCTCAAATTTAAATCCCATCTTTTATTTCTTTAGGCATCTCATGCATTGTTATTTATGTCGTATCTGTGGGGTCCGATATCTTAAGCCTTGAGGTTCCACAGTTTTTGGTGTTTCTGCTGACCCTTGCCATGATGGCTTGTTTTCTTGGATTTATGCTCATGTATCATGAGCACAATTTTGGCTAAAAATTGATCTGCGCAGTTCTTAAGGAATCTGCGTTGATGATCCTTTCCTCCAAAGAGGAGTTGCATTGCTTTCTGCAAGATACCATGCACCTCCACAGCCTCTGTGTGAGTAGTGTCATTTAAACCTGAGACTCTTTTGAAAGGATAACTATGTATAGAGTTTATCAGAAAAGGCTTTTATTTTTATTTTTTTCCGGCTCAGAACTATGATGGAGGCAGACAGATTTCCTCATCTGTTCCCATCGTTGATGTGTGGAAGTTTTCCAGCTTTACCTTTTACAAACAGTACAGGACGTCCCTCGGGCAGTTCTGTGTGGGGCTTGGGGTCACCCCATCGTCCCCTCAGGACACGGGTCCAAGGCTTTATTTGAACACCTCTTCTCTTATACGGAACCTTGGATTCCCTAGGGCCTAGTTTCCTGGTATTAACATTTGTCCTACGATATCTTTGTTTTTTTAATGCCCACCCATGGATATGTTTATATAGAGGAAGGGAGAGAGAGAAAAAAATCGGCCTGCAAGAGAAACATCAGTCTGTTGCCTCCTGCACACTCCCCAGCTGGGGACTGCGCTCACAACCTAGGAATATGCCCTGACTGGGAATCGAACCCACAACCTTGTTTTGATGACGCTCCAACCAGCTGAGCCACCCCCAGTCAGGGCTGTCCTAT